CTATACTAAAAAAAAGACGACATTAATTTCTTGACGACCTAACATATATATATATATATATATATATATAAATATGTTTTTATATGTATTGCCCCTTGGTTGATCAGTGGTAAGTTTAGTGACTCACAACACTAAAATCTAGGTTTCGACTCCTTGCGGTGGACACAGCAGATAGTTCAATGTGGTTTTGAGCTAAAAAAACATATTATATGTATTATTGGTGAAAAAAAAAGAAGAGAAGATACATGTTCTTGTGGCTCAAGATCATTACTTTTCTGTGACGGAAACAGTTCTAGAGATTTTTGTCAATTTGGTATCCCTACTGTATGCATGAAAACAATTCTAGTCAAGGACGCACTGAAGAGGTGGCTCTGGGGTGTGATGCACGTGGTAGTGTTGTTAGAAGAAAAGTCCAATGGTAAATCTTGCTACCTTTGTCTTGTCCGATTAAAAGTCCAATGGTAAATCTTGCTACCTTTGTCTTGCCCGATTAAAAGTCCAATGGTAAATCTTGCTACCTATGTCTTGCCAGATTAAAAGTCCAATGGTAAATCTTGCTACCTTTGTCTTGCCCAATTAAAAGTCCAATGGTTAATCTTGCTACCTTTGTCTTGTCCGATTCTTGACCGGAATATCCGGTTTCTTCTATAGTCCAGCTAAAATTTCACCACCATTTTCTGGTGGACTTTTTTTTTCTTTTTAACACAGGTTTTCATCAACCTTCCTTCATTTTTTCCCAAATACATTCCTCATTGGCTGCAATCTGCCTGCCTTGTGAATGGAAGGGAGGAGTCAGAAAGTCATTTCATCGTGATTGACATGCATGAGTCATTCTTCATCAGTACGAAAAATTATACGTTATTTAAAATTGAGTTACCATTGGGTGCAAAAAAAAAAAGTCTGAATGGAATTGAAAACAAGAAGATAACTCTTTGTAAAGCTTCTGGTTTGACTTTGTTAGATTTAATGTACACGATTTATATCTGTGCTAGCTGTCCTTAAGGCAATGTCCATAAACCAATGCCAACTCTTCGGCTACTCTTACCAGACTGACTAGTGGGATTTAACAGTCACTCTTATAATGCATCCACGGCCTTAAAGTACCAAGAGCGATCTTGTTTGTTTATTATTGTTTTAGCGGTAACTGGATGCGAACCATGGAACCTCACCTCGCCAGTCTGGCACATCAAACACTGGACCGACCGTTAGGTCTGTGACTAAATAGATTAAAATGTGACGATGTTGGTTATGTTTTAGTTACATGATTTTACAGAACATCAACCGAATGCGTTGTTTCCATCATGTACAGTTTTGTCCAACAGTTTTCAGCACCAATGCTATAAAATTTATTTCAGCTTCAGTAATTATAGTAATCCAGTTTTAATTATTTTAGGTACGTATATTCACAGTCACGTTAAATATCAGTATTTGTTTACAAGTTAAAAACTGATAAGATAAAAATCTAATCTTTGGTTTAGAAACTGAAATCTTGCCTCGTATCACAAGTCACCAATTTTAGGAACTACCAAATCACATCAATGGCTTGTATTTGAATCTAGTGACATTACCTTTCATTTTAACTTACATCGCATGTATGTGGATATTCACTAATAAAGTTCCTTTATCGATAATGTTAAACGTAATTGAACACTGTCATGAGAAGCTTTTAATGCAGTTTAAATATTTTATGAGATAATGGAGTTACAGTGAATAATTTTCCTATAAAAACATTCCGAACGATAGAAAAAATAATAATTAAGTTTACAAGTTCGGTAAAAAATTGTAATTAACTAAATGATAAAATGCTTAGTTTTGAAAATCTAAGAATTTCCGGTCAAATATCAAGGAAATTGTATAACAATATATCATATCTATATTTTGTTCAGTATCGACAAGGCCTTTCGTCGAATACAGGCCGACAAACACATCAATAGTTGAAAGTTATTTTTTTAATCAAACTACATCAACAACAGTTGTTATTGTATAAACTAGATTAAGCTAGTGAACTGTAATTTTTATTAATTTTAAATGAGTCATTTACAAATCAGAATTAAGGTAAAGGCTAATAATACAATATTATTTATTTATATTAACCCCGATTATTTGTTGTTGTTGTTAGTTTTACTTTACTCGTCATTTAGATGGATCAGTTTGTTTGTTTGTTTTGAATTTCGCGCAAAGCTACCTGATGATGACAAAACCTTGTCGAAACGTTGTACATTTGCTGTTGTATTAAAGTTTTTC